CAGAAGTTATGGGTGGCCCTCTTGGGACTTGTGGCTAGCACCTGAAGCAGGGTCAGTCTTGTAGGACTGAGCCCTTCACCTGTAGGGTCTGCACTCACTCAGGAGTTGGTGTCCAAATCGAATGGAATTGTTGGACACCCAGTTGGTGTCAGAGAATTCGTTATTGGTGTGAAAAACCCCACCAAATTTAGTGTCCAAAGTGGCGTCAGAAAACAAGACACCACAGGTGGCCCCTCACAGGAGGAAGCCACTGAGGACGGGGCTTGAGGAGGCCAAGGGCTTCCCCTTAACAACAGCAGTGAAGGGGCTGAGAAATGCACTTGGTGTCAAGTGATTGCTTCCAAAAGCGCCAAACAGCTTAAAGAAAGAGAACAGTAGGGTCAGATTCTTGTGTGCATGTCAGGCTAGGAACAAAGCTTTCTCTGCTTTGCAAAGGAGTCTCCTATCTCCTGCAGCGATGCGGCTGAGGTAGGCCCATCATCAAAGCCACAGGCTGATTCTGTGGCTTAAAGGTTAAATACTGATTGAATTCACAGCCTCCCTAAATCTTTTAGGCGAACGCTAGGCACTGCTCAGGACAGAGCACTGAGTGTGCACAGCAACACGGGGGAACACTCTGCAAGCCCACATCCAGTGGCAACGCTCACCTTCCCTGACCCACTGGTGTCACTCGACATGGCGGGCCACTCCCCATTCCACCCATGCTCCCCACACTGGTCCTTCCCATACCCCTCTTCTGGCTCTTCATGTCAGGCTGTAATGTGGGCAACCCAGGGCTCAGTCCTCAGGTGTCACTTCTTTCCTATTTACGTTCCCCTTGAGCGCTGGTCCACTGTCATAGCTCTAAGTGTCGTCTATGCCCTGACGATGCCATTTCTTATCTCTGGCCCAGGCCTCAACTCCAGAGGCCAAGATGCAACTGTCCCATCAACGCCTCCCCTTGGATATCCCTGGCATTTAATCTGAATGCACCTTCAATTGAACTGCCGACCCCCAGCACCACGCCGCCCCCTACGGACCTTCACATGTCCACAGTGGCGACCCCATCCCTGGGCATGGTGGGGTTTCTCATATGCCTTCATCCAAACAGCAGCCAATCTTGGCTCTACCTTCACGGTTTAGGCAGAATCTGACTACTTCTCAGCAGCCCCAACCCCAGCGTCAAGGTCTCTCGCCCAAGATTGTCACAGAGGCCTCTGTACGGGTCTCCAGGCCTCCACTCTGCCCCACTGAAGTCTATTCTGGAGTCAGCAGCAGCCAGAGGGACCCTTTAAAAATGTTCATCAGATCAAGTCACTTGGCTCAAAGTAGCCTCCCATTTCCAAAGCACCATATCGCCTGAACCCCATGACCTCTGACATGGTCTTCCTCCTCCTCACTCCTGCTTCTGCAGCCACCCCAGCCTCCCCTGTGTTCCTGGAACTTACCTGGCACAGCCTGCCCTCAGGGTCTTGCACTGGCTGTGGAATGCTTCACGGCTTCACCCAGGCCTTTGATCGCCTTCCAGGCCTCTTACAACCCCTCTGTCCCAGCGCCCTGTGAGGCGATTCTCTCTGTGATCTTATTTCTTTACTGGGTCTATCACCACGAGAGTGCTGGCTCTGTGACAGTAAGGGTTTGTCTGTCAGGCTTACTGGCTTAGCCCACAGTAGGCACTCAACGTGTTAACAAATTACACGGGATGAAGATGTAAGAAAGAGCGCAGAGGAATCAGATTACCACCGACCCCAGACCCTCTGCACCTCCCTGCCCACGGAAGCAAGGTGTCCTTGCCAAGGGGTTTGCCGAGGGAAGCCAATTCTTCTGCCCCTCTTCCCAAACTCCTTAACATCCCCAGTGCCTTAAACTAAAGATGGATTCCAGCAGGGCACCTGGTGGGCTCAGTTGGTGGAGCATCATGTGACTCGATCTCAGGATTGTGGGTTCAAGCCCCATGTTGGGTGTAGAGATTACTTAAAAAAAATTAAAATATAAAATAAAATAAATAAATAAAAAGATGGATTCCAGCATGTCTGGAAGTCTTATTACAAAGTTAAACCCAGAGGGAAAGGCTTATATATCAAAGAAATTGTAAGACTTTGTTACTTTACTGTGGTCACAATATGGAGAGCATGTATGAGGAAAGATCCAGGTCCTGGACGAAGGAAATAAGAACCGAAGTTTAAATTGGGCTGATTTTTTCAATACAGGTGCACTTACCAGATATTTTGGATTCCGTGTGCTGGCGTGAGCTACTAGGGGTCATTCTGGGTGTCTATTTGGTTGGCTGGAAGGAAAGCTGAGTCTCACTAAATGCAATCAAGATGCCAAAAGTTCCCTGGTATAGTAGAGGAAAAAATCCAAAGCCTCAGAAGATTCACTCATTCACTAAAAACAAATGTGGGACTGGGATTATCAGACAACTCACCCAGAGATATTCCCTTCACCTTCATTTAGGAGTTCATTGCTGAGAGGAACATCTTTGAAAAGTTTGTCTGCTAGGACTGCTGTAACAAAGTACCACACACTGAGTGGCTTAAACAACACAAAGTTCTTGCCTCACGGTTCTGGAGCCGAGGTGTTGGCAGGGCCACGCTCTCTCTGAAGGCACTGGGGAATTTTGGATTCGGGGCCCACCCTCACCTCAACTCAGTATATCTGCAAAGATGATTTTTTTTTTTTTAAGATTTATTTTATTTATTTGAGAGAGAGAGACAGAGCACGAGTGGGAGAGGCAGGGGGAGAGGGAGAGAGAATCACAAGCAGACTTGGTGCTAAGTGTGGAGCCCCACGTGGGGCTTGCTCTCACGACCCCATCATCCCGACCTGAGCCAGACGCTTAACCGGCTGCACCACCCAGGTGCCCCCAAAGATTCTATTTCTAACTAAGGCCACATTATGAGGTATTAGGGTTTAGGTCTTAAATGTATGATTTTTTTTGTGGGGCAGACACAATTCAACCTTTACTTACCAAGCACCATAGTCACTGTTCTCCATGTCAGGGATTCTCTCTCTTTTTTTTTTTTTTTAAGATTTATTTATTTGAGAAAGAGAGCGAGCACGTGCACTTGCACGCACACAAGCTGGGGGAGGGGCAGAGGGAGAGACTCCCAAGCAGACTCCCCGCTGAGCTCGGAGCCCATTGATGCAGAGCTCAACCCCAGAGCTCTGAGATCATGACCTGAGCTGAAATCAAGAGTCAGACGCCCAACTGACTGAGCCACCCAGGCACCGCCTCCATTTTTCACTTTAGTTTTGTTCAGGGGCGCCTGGGTGGCTCAGTCGTTAAGCGTCTGCCTTTGGCTCAGGTCATGATCCCAGAGTCCTGGGATCAAGCCCATCAGGCTCCCCGCTCATTGGAGAGCCTGCTTCTCCCTCTCCCACTGCCTGCCACTCTGCCTACTTGTGCTATCTCTCTGTCAAATAAATAAATAAAATCTTTAAAAAAAAGTTTTGTTCAAAAAACATGCCCAGCTCCACACGTGATTGGTCTAAGCCAAACATGCTAAAATTCCCCTTTGCAGGTGATAACTGTATTTTAATTTATTAATATATAGTAATTATATTATTGGTCTAAGCCAAACATGCCAAAATTCCCCTTTGCAGGTGATAACTGTATTTTAATTTATTAATATATAGTAATTATATTATAAACATAATTCATAATTCAAATGTTGCTGAAATCTATGTCTTTTTTTTTTTTAAGATTTTATTTTTAAGTAATCGCTATACCCGACTTGGGGCCTGAACTCACAACCCCGAGATCAAGAGTCGCATGCTCCACAGACTGAGCCAGCCAGGCGCCGCTGCCAAAGCCTGTCTTTGCAACAGCATTTCTTTCTATCCAAATACCCTCTGACCCTAACATCCAATGATGGTCATTGTTTCCGAGCAACCCAAAATGCTACACAATTTTTCAACATGATGATATATAATCCCTCTTTCTAGGTTATGGTAGAACACTGGACCTGAAGAAAAATTCTCATAGTGTTAAATCTTATTCCTTCTGCTGTTGCTTTGCCATTAAAAATCTTTAACACCTTCTTCCAAAAGCGCTGAGGCCTCTCAGGTCAGGTGTCCACCCAGGAACCCAGTGCCCAGAGACAGGGTGAGGACCATCAAGCTGTCCCCTAATCTCACCCACCAGGAAGACCATTGCAGCTGAAATCCTGCTGAACTCAGGGATGAAGCCCAGGGGTTTCTGTCACCCATCATGACACAGCTGGGTAAGGCAGAGCCATGGCTATTGGCAACACCAAACCACCCAGAAGCAGCCCAGCCACAGCTACCTCCACCCTGACACACTGGGAGAGGTGCAGATGGGCATCCAGCCACGTCCAGCCCCAGCATGTCCACTGAGGAGCAGCCCTGCAACCTGCCCTCCAACATCCCAGCCCCAGGGCAGGAGGTATGCAGAGTCCAATGAAGTTCTGGGGTAGGGGAAAGGGAAAACCCTGCCCCTGTCACCATCTTCCCCAACCCAAAGGTCGGTGACAAAGAAAACAAGACAGAACCAGCCAACACGCCCCCACTCAGAGCCTCATGTCGCCCCTCTGTCCTCAACCCAGTCCCTGGTTCCCCTCCCCAAAGATGCCAACATTTGGGACCCATAATTTCCCCTTAATGGTCCTCCACCCCAGATGCCCCTTCACACATCCTGGGGTGAGGACCCAGAACCCTATGTTGGCCCAGAGAAAACTTGGCCCTGTCCCTGCCCATGGGCACCAGGCCCAGGACTTACTCCAGGGCAAGACAGTTTCCTCTCCAGAGAGGGGTAGGCATGGAAGTGGGAGCTGGACCAAAGATCCCAACACAGACCTATGAGAGACCACAATGTGGGAGTCAGCAGAACCAGCTGGAGAATACCTCAGAAGTGGAGAGATGGCCACAAGATACAACCTTAGATTTTTATTGTTTATTTATTTACTTATTTAAGTTAGCTCTAGGCCCAACATGGGGCTTTGAGCTCACAACCCCGAGATCAAGAGTCACGTGCTCTACTGACTGAGCCAGCCAGGTGCTCCAATTTTTTTCTTAAGTATTTATTGCAAAGAATGCTGGACACAGTGTGATGTGTGGCTGAGATCCACCACCACCCACTCCAGGGAGAATGGGAAAACGTCTTCGACACAAGCACATCGACCGTCAAGGATAAAACCCAACAGCCAACCCAGAGGGTTGCTGCCCATGCAGAGAGCACTCCAGGCAGAGGCAGAGAGGAGCTGCCCCAACCCTGCCATGCCCCTAGGCTTCCCTCTGCCCTACCCCAGTTCTTGTAACACTCCGGGTCCAGCAGCTCCTGACTGCCCTCTGGGCACAGAGAAAAGGCCTCGCTGGTCCTGCCTTAGCCAGCCTGAGGTCCTGGAGAGGTGCGGACATCCAGACATACAGCCCGCCAACCAAAGAAACCCACTATGGCCAACAAGTAACTGTCCATGTGACCAAGTCACCAAAACTCTGGGGGACATGGAAACAAGGGCTGTGGTCCCCATGTCCCAAAGGCAGTGGCATGGTCCTCTGGTCCTGAGTCCAGGGCTAAGGGCTCTGGCAGGAGTTAAGTCCAGAAGCTCCTGCCCCAGCCCTCTACCAGGTCTGTCCACGGCCACTGCAGTGCACGAGGCTGAGAGACCACCAGCTGGGGCAGGGGCACGCGCTCCCCTCAGGGGCAGGTGGCACCTGCAGGCTTTAAAGCCCCGGGAGGCTGGGAAAGGTGGGCTGTCCTGCCAGGGAAGCTTCCGGGTACAAGGTGGGCTCGGGATCCTGGATGAGGACCCACTTGTGGACAGCAGGGCATCCGACTACAGACACCGACACCTCCTCACCCAGCCTCTCGACTTGCTGGCCAGGCCTCCTGCCCATCTACAAGATGGAGCCAGAACCCACTGCCCAGCCTGCCTCTCTGGACCCAAAGGAACTCAGGGGCTCGTGACAGACAGCAGCCTCCCGGGGTGGTTCTCTGCCAGGCTCCCATGCACGGGAAGCCGAAGCTGCGCCATGCTGGGAACATCCTCCCCTGGACAGGGTGCCTCGGGTTTCCGGCCTTTCCCCACAGGTGGAGGTCAGCGAACGCCAGGACAGGCTTTTTTCTCTGAATGCTTCACAGCAAATGCATTTCTCTGCCACCAGGGTCCGCTCCTGTGTGGACACAGGCAGCAACGGGGGAGAGGTAGCCTGGGGAGCATGGCCGGGAGGGCGAGGTGGGACCCTCTCCCTCGAGCACCTGGGTGTTCACGCGACCACCCTGACTTTACGTGCTTTCACCGTGACAGCCGTTGGGCAGGTGTGGCCTTGGCCACCAACTCCCCCAAATGTTCCAGTGTATGCGCCATCGACAAGGGGTGACCCCAAAGCCCGCGCTCCCTGCATGCTTCTGCTGAAGTGAGCACGTGGAGCTCATGAGCGGCTTCGACACGAGGTGGCGGCCTCGGCGGCTCTCAGGTTCCTGGCAGGACGGGAAGGGCACTCCCTCACAGCCCCGGCAGCAGAGCTCAGGGTCCCACACAGAGGAGACAACAGAGTCCCTGCTGGGGTCGCCAGGTCCACCTCAGACCGCTCGGCCGCGGTGGGAACCTCCTAGCCGGGCTTTCTGTTCACATGTTTAGGGCTTCACACTTCACAGAGCCCAGCGACCAGGGAGAGAGCACCTCAGAGCAGCAACAGCAAGACCAGCTTGTGAGGACACCTCTCACCAGCCCCGGGCGGATGCAGTCTGGCCAAATGCTTTATAGCAGCAGGTTGGGCACCACGTCTAACCCCGTCACCATTAACAAGGAAGCGGGGGGCTGGTGCACGGGCTCTGGGATGTTCCAGCAGAGAAACTCACACGGGCCAGGGGGCCTGTAAGGACCTCATTTGCAGAGGTCCATACCTGCCTGGGGGTCGCAGTGGATGATTCATGGTCACTGGTGAGCAGGGACCGTGACAAGGGCTTCCTCCGGGGGCCTCGAGATGTCTACATTCTGCAAAACAAACAAACACACACACACACACAAACCACAGAACATTCACCTTGTGGCGAGAATAGATGGACACCCACTGTCCCGCTGTCTACTTTCCTCATCAATGTAACCCTTTGGGTTCACATACTCACCCCCCAGGAGCCCTGGCTATGGGACTCCAACCCCCAAATTTCCCTAAGAGCAAGGGCTCAAGAGCCTTTCCAAATATGCTGGGTGGATGAACACAAGGATTCAAAGGCAGCAGAGGAAGGTGCCTGGGTCCTGCTTGCTCCTTGCTCACAGGGCAGGCAGTACTCTGAACAAGGCCATCCCACCTCCTGCCTCAGGCCTGAGTCAGCTGGGAGGGAAGAGCTTGATGGGGGCTCAAATCCTCACCAGTGGGGGCAGGGAAGGGGGCCCCGCTCCTGGGGGTGCCCACCTCCTGGTCTAAGTGTTGGTGGGCAGGTGTCAGACGAGGCTCCAGCAGCCTGTGGACCCCTCCTCATCTTGGCCTGCTCTGTCCTCTCAGAGCTGGGGCACAGGGTGCCCTGGACCTCCTGAAGCCCTCAGCTACAGACAGGCCTCGCCAAGCCACAGAGCCCAGCTCCTTCCATGGCCCGCTGGGCTCAGGCCTGAGGGATAATGGGGGCCTGACACTTTCCTCAGCTCCACGAGATGGTCCTATGAGCCCCCCAATCCTGGTGGCCCATCTTCTTGATTGTGGGCCCTCACAACCATGACCTACTGAAGCAGGTCACCTGGGGCCGCAGCCCTGTGTGACGTGATGTGCCCAGACCCACAGGCAAGAAGACATGGCCCCCGGGGGCGGGGCCACCTCTGGGTTCACTGAACCAGCCACTGCAATGGGAGGGGCAGGTGCAACTCTGGGGGATGGGGCAGGCTTCCTGAGGGCCCCTTTCCCATCTCTTTTTGCTCCCAAGAATGGGCTAGGGCCCAGGGATCCTGCCACCTGAAAGGGAATGAGCCGGGAACCTGTGGCCAGCAGAAGTTGGCGTCTTGGAAGCCAGCATGCAGAGGTGGGCAAGGGGGCTGCCAGCTACTCCGTGGCCATGCTGGCTCCTGCCCTGCAGATGTGGGGGTCAGCCCCCAGTGCCGGCCGCGTCCAGGGGCTTCTCTTACCATCACCCTGTCAATCTGTGCTGGGGCCCAGTGCCTTCTGGACCTCCCTCAGCACAAAAAGTGCCCGTTAGGACATGCCTTCCCCAGTGACCTGTGGGGGCCAGACAAGGCCTGGAGCAGAGTCTCGGGACAAACAGGGAAGAGGCCTGCATGGTGGATGGTCCCGGTGAGGGGGCAGCCGCCTTAAGAACGTCCACACATCTCTGTCGGTGGGGATCAAGGCCAAGGGGCTGCAGGTGTGCAGCCCAAGCTGTGCACCTTTAACAGGGACCCAGAGCCCACCATGCTCCCTTTTAGGTGGCAGCAGGCACAACTGAGACCCCAGGAGCCTTCTTGGGGTAGACTCTGGGAATGGGGTCCAGAAGGGCCGATCTAGCCCTTGGCCTCAGTGGAAGAGGTAATCAATGTGGCAGAGAGACCTCCCATGGACACAGAAAGGGGTTCTGGGCAATACTTTGAGGAGCTTCTATCTTAAACAAGGCACTGGGGGAACACAGGGTCGTGAACTGCTCTTCTGCAGGACCGTCTCTGTCCAGCGCCAACACCCTCTCTGCACCTACGTGGCCCTTTCCCTAACAAAGCGCACACCGTTTTAATTTTTAAAGTTGCTCAAGTTGGAAAGGATGCTCATGAGGCCTGAACTTGTAGGGGATCATGGAAGAATCTGCATCCATCCCCTTGTGGGCCTCTTGCTTCTTTCCCAGCTGGGACCCCCTCACCCCCTGGCTCAGACCTCTATGATAGGGCTGCTGGGAAGCCACTGCACCCAGGCTCAGGCACTTCCTACCCTGGTGGCCCAGCTCCAGGGGCCTCCCCACTCCCAGGGCAGCATCTTCGGGAAGGCCCAGCCCAGAGCCATGACCTTGCCCTGATGATAAGACAGTAGGTTTGGCAGAGAACTCAAGTCCTCTCTGGCAGGCACCCCAACTGGCCCTGGGTCTGGAAGATGCTGTATCTGGATACCCCCAGGAATAGGCTCGCCACCCCAGCAGTAACCCCATTGCTACCTGAGGCCTGTCCCGGTGCGTGTTCACAGCCATCACGTTCAGGAATATGGACTCCACTTTACAACCTGCCAAAGGGAGGATGTAAATTCATTTCCCCTCCTGGAGCCGTAGAGGATAGAAGCTTCTCTCAGGGGGAAGCCCGGGGTATCGCAGAACAGGGCAGCCATTCTTAGCGTCATCTGGGCCCTCCCACCTTGGGCAGCTTTGGGGAGCACGTGAGGAAGGACAAGGAACCCTGCAGGCCCGTGCTTATCAAGTGCCACCGCGCAGCCTTGGGGAGAAGCCCAGACACCCGGGAGGCTCCCCCGAGGACACGAGCCGTGCAGCGGCCTGAGCGCGGCGCGGAATTGTTCTGTGAGCCTTCGGGGCCCCCGCACCACTCACACCCCAAGCACGCCACAAACACAAGGCCAAACCCACGTCACGCCAGGGGCTCAGTGCCATGGGGATGAGGGGGTGAGCACACAGGGGAGCAACATCAGCTGTCACTGGGCTTTTCCCGTCATTCTCCCAAGGACACGACCACCTGAGGGGTGCCTCGTAGCCTGTGCTGAAGGTCAGGAGCTGAGACCCAGGAGCTTAGGAGGTGGCCTGAGGTCCCTGCGGGCACAATGCAAGGCAGAGTTGGGACTCAAACGTCTCTGAACTCAAAATACCCTGAATATGTTAAGGCCCAGGTCCTGGGGGCCATGGGGCTTTGTGGGGGGTCTCTGAAAAAACAATAGAAAAGCCCCTCATGCAGGTGGGTGATGGTTAAGGATCACGGGAAAGGCTTGTGTGGCCACAGAAATTAAAATAAAACAAAACAAAAAAGTAAATTGGGAGGGGCTCCTAGCTGACTCAGTCTGTGGAGCGTGTGACTCTTGATCTTGGTGTTATGAGTTCAAGCCCCAAGTTGGGTGTAGGGCTTAGTTAGAAAAAAAAAAGGAAATTGGGAAAGGCAGTGGGCGGGGGGGGGGCAGAGGAGGAATGAGCCCCTAATGGGAGTTTCAAGGGATCTGCAGAAACATCGTGGAGCCCCATGGAAAGCCAGCGTCTGGCAACCAGGTGAGTGTGCAGGAAGCTTCCTTACCATAAGCCACGGGGGTCAGCTTCAGGACGGTGTGCAGCGGGCACTTGAGGTAGGGCAGCTGTTCTGTGGACACAGATGGGCAGGGCTGGCACACCAGGGACGCCCACAGAACAGTCCCTCTGTCCCTCTCTGCATACACACATCCCACCTCCCCGGGGGCCGGCCCACACCTGCCGCCTTATCAAGGAAGTAGGCCAGGAGGCAGCGCATCACAGCCTGGTGGCAGATGACCAGCACATTCTCTTGCCTCTCCAGCTCCATGATGACAGGCTCAAGGCGCTGGACCAGGTCCTCGTAGGACTGCAAGGACAAGCGGGAAGGGTCCCTCAGGCCCTGCTCCAGGGGTAGTGACGGCGATGTAGCAGGCTACCTCCTCGCTCCTAGGCCCCTCATCATTCTGGGAGGTTGTGGCTAGATATCCTCCAGCCTGGCATCCCAGGGGCACGGGGGGTGGGCAGCTCGGGGCTAGGGCCTGCCTCTGCAGGACAGTGAGATGTCCAGCTTGACACGGAAGCTGGGAGGGGAGAAGAACTGGAAGTCTGGGGAAGAGATCGCATCCTCCACCCCAGGGCCAGGTCCCGGGAGGACGAGAGGGCAGAGCTGGGCCTCAGGCTGCCATCCTAAGGGGCCATCACCAAGCCCACCCCCAGGGCCCTTGGCGGAACCCTCTGCTGCTGGAATTCACACGCTGGTAAACTGAGGACTGGAAGGAGAGACACTGCGCCCTTCCAGCCCACAGCAGACGGAATGCACAGAAAGACCCGTGGGGGTGGGAGGAGCAAAGGCCCCCAAAACTTCCTGCGACATGACCCATCGGCATGCCTGAGGACCCAGGAACAATGATCTTCACGGTCAGCCTGCCCTGTGCCTCCCCTGGGTGCCATGAAGTAGCTGACGAGGGAGCCCTTGGACCAAGCGTGGGCCCTGAGGTTTAGAGATTTCTCCACCTGGAGACCAAGCCCTCTTTGTACACAATGAGCAGGACTTCAAAACACACACCTCAAGCTGGAGCCAGAAGTGCCCCCTGGGCACTGACTGGGAGCGAAGCCCTGTAGTTCCAGGGGAAGCCTAGATCAGTTCTTTTAGTAACTGTAATTTCTCTACCAATCCCCCCCCCCACCCCCCGCTGTATTCTCAAGTCTGAATAGGTAACTGCTTGGCTTATTTTTACTGTTACCTGGGTTAGTTTAAAATCTAAGTTCTCCCTCACAGTATGACATGGGGAATAATTAATGCTCCCCAGAGCTGTACCTTTCCTGAAGACAGTCTAGCAGAGGGGCCAAGGGGCTGGCACCTGAGGTTGGGGGTGGGGGGTAGCTTCTGCATGAGTCTGTGTATGGGTGTACATACATGTGTATCTGTCGGGGTATCTTTATTTGGCCACTGCCCCAGGCCACCTCCTGGAAGCGGGAGGTACCCAAGTCAAAGGTGACCTACTTCTGACCTGGGGCCTGGACTGAGGCAGGAGCCAGCCTGAGGGAAGGTGTCCGAGCACATGGCTTCTTGTGGCCACGACTAAACAGGGGAAGGTCTCCCTAGGTCTATATTCAGGACTCTGTGTCTGGAGCCACGGGGAGAACATGATGCCTGTGATACCCTGGGGAAGGGGAAAGGCAAAGATGGGGAACATCGGGGAGCAGGGATCCAATGAGTCTCAGAGTTGGGAGTCCCATGCAGCAATGTCCACCCACCGCCCAAGGGGGGGTGGGGACTGCGGCCTGGGCATCATGGCTGGGAAGTGGCAGAGATGACACACACACCCAGTCTGGCCAAGCTCTGAGGTCAGGCCCCACCTGCTGTCCACGCAGCCTCCACAGAGTCCCCCAGGGATCCTGGGGCAGACCACAGGTGGCGGCTGGGACTAAGCCCCCAAATCCCACCTACCTCCCCCTTGGGGTACCGGTACCGGTACTTGTCCTGGTCCCGTAGGGCAAATTCCAGTGGATAATGATCCTGAATTTCTTCGTAAGTCATCTCCTCACAGACGCCCTAGGGAGACACGGCAGTTGTCACATCTCCCAAGCCAGGCGTGGGGGTCAGTCCTGTGTTGGGGGCGGGGGGAGGGCACGCAGAGGGGACCAGGTTTACAGGGCATTTCCTGGGCCATAGGGGCCCTCCCAGCCCGGAGCTTAGAACCCCACTGGGAAGAGCAGGTCCATGGGGACGCTGAGCAAGGGGGCAGCCCCTCGTTTGTACAGAGCTACCAGAACAGTCTTTTTCCATCCATCCATTACCCATCCATCCAGTTTATGCCATAAAAATAAACAAAGGAATGTTAACTATGTGTCTTTCCTTGTGTCTTTTGTTTTCTGTGCTGTAGAAATACGTATTCTGAGTTATGGACTATTGTCCAAACTATAAAGCAAGAATTCACTTGTGTTCTTCAAGACACACATGCACTCACACGTAGCATGGATTACCTTCTATAAATGCTATTTTTTAAAAAATCCAGCAGAGAAGAACACTGGTTGACAACACATAAGTGTGGTTTAAGGGCTCTGAGAGGGAAAGAAGCCATAAAATGTCCTAATAAAAAGTTGCTGGTCTCTGCCTTTGTTCTAAGTTGTTTTCTAGACAAAGCCTTGGGGCAAAGTTGTCTATTAAAAAAGGAAAGACCAAGAGGAAAACTTTCAATTGTAAATGTCTGTATGGAGAAAAAAAAGAAAGATCTCAAAACAATAATCTGATCTCCCACCTTAAGATACTGGAAAAAGAAGAGCAAGCTAAATGCAAAGCAAGCAGAAGAAAGGAAATAATAAAGATTAGAGCAGAAATAAATGTAATAGAAAACAGAAGACAGAGAAAAGCAATGGAAGCAGAAGTTGGTTCCTTGATAAGATTCACAGAATTCACAAACCTTTTGCTAGACTGACAAGAGAAGAAACTCAAGGGGCGCCTGGGTGGCTCAGGCGTTCGGCGTCTGCCTTCGGCTCAGGTCATGATCCCAGGGTCCTGGGATCGAGCCCCACATTGGGCTCCCTGCTC